AGTGAACTCGGAGAGGATCATCTTCCACTCATTCTAACGGTTGTCCCAAATGTGTGTAATTGTCAATCTTTCTTCTTCTCAAATATCACTATCTCAACCCCTCTTCTTCATTTCTCATTTATTTTTATGTTCAAATTTATCAAATAATCTAAATAATCAGTTGTAAGTTGTAATGCTGGTGAACTTTACGTTTTATCACTTTGGGGCAATCATCTAAAGATTATTAAGAATTTGTTGTAAGTTGTAACACATACTGTGTGGTGATGTTTATCTCTTTATTTATAAATAAAAGGTATTATGTTCAACTTCTATGGCCAGTTTGGGGTTGCTTAAATTTTTTATTTTATTTTTAAACAGCTTCTTAAAAAAGTTGAGTCCTTAATTGTGTTGGGTAAATAAAAAATGTTTGCTCTTGTAATAAAAACCCTGGTATAGATATATCGTTGTATCAAAATAAGAGAATAACGTTATCAAGCAAAGTCACCAATGTGCAAATTTTATCGTGAAGGTGCTGAAATTAAGTTACCTAAATTAGGAGAAGTTCTTCTATCCGAAATTGGACTAGAGCCAAAAAGAGAAAGGATATGACTAGAGAGTTGGGTAGGTGTAGATCTGGGAATCAAGGGTGCGGGGTAGGTGTGAATTTTTGTGTCTTGATGATATAATTTCTCCTAAATTAGAGCCGTTGAGGATCTCATTCACAGGCTTCAAGGAATACTCTAAAATCATCTAACAAACTATAATCAATTATAAACCAACACATGTAAGAGAAGCATATGTTATAACTTAGGGACTCACTAGAAATTAGTGCCCACGCGTTGCTGCGAGATTGAAAATTAAATGAAAGATTATGTTTGAAAGATATAAAAGTTAAACAACAACAACGAAACCATATGCCAATCCTACCTAGGGCTGGAAAAAAATCCCAAAAATCCACCAAACCAAAAAAATCCCGATCCCAAACCAAAATTCCCGAAAGTTTCGGGATGTAATCCCAAACCAAACCGAAATTTTTGGTATGGGATTCGGTATTGCATTTCATTTTTTCGGTATTCCCATACCGAACCGAAAAAAAATATATATATATATATATATATAATTTTTTAATTATAAGAGAATTATTTCAACCGTTGATTGTTTTGGATTTAATCTGTGCCGTCGGTTTGTTTTTAGGTCAGATGATAACATTTCACTTTTGTATTCCTCCGTTCATTTGTTTCGAAGCGCAGCCGTGAGCCTCCGACCCTCACCAACATCGTCTCTCACCATACTGTCGAATTCCGACCAGCCACCGACCCACCACCACACCATACTCTCGTCTCTGACTCTCCAGCCTTCCTTCACCACACAACCACCGCTCTATCTCTCTCTCTAGGGCGATTGTCTTTCACGGACAGGACAGGTCACAGAACTAGGGATCTCTCTCGAGTATACTTCTGCAGTTGGATCTCTCTCAAGTTTTGCTGCAGGCAAAGCTGTGCGTGGATGAAAACATCCCTGTTATTCCTATACCTGGGCCGTCTGCTTTTGTGGCTGCTCTCTCTGCATCTGGCCTCTCCACGGATGAGTTTACGTTTGGTAAGTTTTCCATGGAAATGATGCTGCAGATATTCTTCTTGGTGGATGTGGCTTGAGGGATAAGATGTATATAGAACTCTGAAACTGAGTATACTTCTGCAGTTGGATTTCTCTCTAAACATGTTGGATCTAAAAGAGAGAGGTTGACGGTTTCAGCAAATGAGGGGACGACCCAAATATTCTATGTGCCTCCCCACAAACTTCAGCAGTTTCTTGAAGAGACTTCTTCAGTTTTTGGTGTTTCAAGGTAAATACTTTTAAGGCTTCAGATTAAAAATCAATTTTAATAAAGGTATTAAGAAAAAATACCAACTTCAATAAAAGCTACCAATCCCTTCCCATTCTATTTGGATTAAGCAACAAATTGTGGGAAAATACTCTATAAGCTTAGGAACATTTATATTTTTCTCCCCATTGCGCACGACCCACATGCCACCAGTGCCAGTGCCAGAAGTTGTCGCCAGCCACCGTCATTGTGGCTGAAGATTTTTAGTTATGTGCAACTTTTTCAATTTCAATTATGTATTGATGTTTGAGTTTATTGTTTGTTTTTTTACATGTATCACATACTTTCATCCCTCACTAACTACTCATTGATATGATTATATATTAGTTTTTGTTATGGTGAGTTACAAATTAAACTTCCATGTATGGATTTATGCGCTTTTACTGACTTAGTGGTTTTACAAAAACTGATTTGGTGAGTTTGTAATTGTGTTTCAGAAAATTGTCCCGAAATCACGATTTGGTGAGTTTGTAATTTTTGGGATTCCCGATTTGTCCCGAAATCCCGAAACTATTTCGGGATTCCCAAAAATTTGGTTTGGGATCGGTATTGAAATTGGGATTCCCGAAAATTTCGGTATGAGAATCGGGACAAGAGTTTCGGTATGGGATCCCATACCGAACCACCCCTAATCCTACCTGAAGAAGCTTATTATAATTCTAAGTGGAACAGGGGTGAGTAATTCTAAGTGAAAGGCCCACACAGATAAATTATACATTCTGAATTTCTTGATTACAAAATGCACTCCTCACAATGAAGTCTTCCACTGGACCAATACTTTCATTGGGCTCAGATACCTGTAATCCAGCCTAATTCGATAAACCCAGCAGTGGCAGTCTTGTAAATAAAACGAAAAGACCAATGGCACATATGTAATTGGCCGAAATCGATTCCAAATGCAACATGAATAGTGCAATTTCTTTTCCAGACTTTAGTAATATGCCAGAATATTCTCATCACACACCATTCCAATTATTAGTACCCCACCCTCCCTTTCCTTCCTCATTGATTTTCCACGTGACAAAATTTGGATACGTTCAATATTGAAACATTTGAATGCGGAGGGAGTTAGATGCCACATGGATGCATGTAGTTGGTGTGCAACAAACAATGCATAAACAAGCACGCGTTCTATAAAAAAATTCCCACGAGAAAGGGAGGTGGTGTGGAATTGGTAGTATTGGAGGTAGGTAGTATAAATTTGGTGACTTTGAAGTAGAGCTGGGCACAAGACGGGCAGGGTCCAAATTTGAACGGACTGGATCGGATTCGGGTTTAAAAGAAAAGGATCGAGCTGAGGCGGGTACATCAAATTTTAATACAGGAACCGGACCTGTCAGACCGGGTCCACGGGTCCTTTTTTTTTGGGGGGGGGGAAATTGAATTTTTAGAGAAGGCAGCACAGATTCACAACAGCAGCTGCACAAATTGAACACGGGTCCAATTATCACTGTAAGTCAAAACACAGGTGTTCGCAAGACTCGCAACCTTCTCTCAGTTCTCTTTAAGGTGAATACATGTTTCATAACCTGCCAAATTGCATGAAACGCTCCATTGATCTAAATTGCATGAAACATTCAAATCTAGTTTACATAATATAATTAAAAATATTCAACAGAATATTCAAATTCAATCAAACAAAAGATTTGAAATTGGAACAGAATAAAAGTCAAGATTCAAGAACCTAACAAAATCCCTAGGAAATCATAATTTAATTTTCAATCCTAAATCCCTAAAACATAATACCTTGAAACTGAAAAAGACTGTGAGCAGAGCTCGGCTTCCATGCAAATCTAAGTCAGATAGAGGAGATGACTGAATCGTCATTTTAAGTTGTTCGACTTCATTGTTCGTCCCCTTGAGTTCGACAGAGAGAGACTGACTTTGTCATTCGTCCCTTCGAGTTCGACAGAGATAGATTGAGAATCGAGAGGGATACGAGTTAGTCTGGACTCTGGGAGAAAGAGATCGAGAGGGAAGACTGAGTTTCAATTCGAGTCAAATGAGAGTCTTTGAGAAAGTGATGTTATGTGTGTGTGTGTGATTTGAGTGGTGTGTGTGAGATTTGAGTGTGTGTATGTGAGACGACACTTTATTGGATACAGTTCGGGCCGGGGTGTCACAACTCGGCCCGGGGTCCACCACATCCCGGGCCCGCTCCACCACCGTAGCACGATATTGTCTGCTTTGGGCCCCGACTACGTCCTCACGGTTTTATTTATGGGAACTCACACGAGAACTTCGGAGTTCCGATGGAACTCGAAGCCAATGAACTCCCAAAAAGCTTCATGCTAGGTAGGGATGAGAATATACATATAAGGATCACTCCCCTGAACGATGTGGGATCTTACACGGGGGTCGTGTCTTCATAATATTTGACCCGCCTCGCCCCTCTGTTTACTTAGACCCGCCCCGCCCCGTTTTGTATATAAAATAATATGGACCTGCCCCGTACCCGCCCCCTTTTAGAAAAAAGACTTAATATAAATTTGGTGATTTTGAAGAGTTGCTTTGTATGGTGTATTCTTATTAATTAAAACTTTTTAGCAAAAACTTAAATAGGAGGCCATATTATGCCCCTTCTACCTGTAAATAACTCTTTTATCTAAATTATTATCCAAATCTTCTTATCCAAGTAAAAAATAAAGGAACAAACACACATACATTAACACAAGGATTTAGCAGTTACCCATTACTTATCTTCTCATTACCCATGTAATCAACTTCTATCATCCACATTAACATTTTGTACTAAAAAAAAAAGAAATTAAACTTGTACTATTATTAGAGAAAAAAATAAGAGCAAAAGAATTGAAGTCAAATTAACATTTTTATTTCATGCTTGCGTGTTTTTTTGTGTGCCCGTTGTCTCTCTCTACAATTTGTCCATGAAGATTTATTGTTGTTTTCATTAGTTTGTCACAAGCAACTATAGTAAAAAGGGGACAAAAGCAAGTGCGATAAGATATGCTAAATGGCAAAGCAATGTAGAAGGACATAGGCAGAGGTGCGCGTGGCCGAGGGGTTCCCAAGTCAGGGAAGCTCAAACAAACTCAGGGATTGTTTTATTCGCACCCTACATATTGTTGACTATACCTACTTATTTAATACACTCCACTTTTGTTTTTTAAGGGAAAGTAAGTTATTCATTGCATTGAAATAGAACACATACAAACTGAGAATAGTGTGCATAATGAGCCTCAATAAAACCTTACGGGGGCTTTCAACCTGGTCGAAGGGAAAAGAGCGTCCCGCATAACAGAAAGAACTATCCTCAAATGACAATACATAACAAAACATAACAATTTACAAGCTTTCTTCGAATAAAATATCCCTAAGCAAATCAGGGGGTCTTCAAACCACAAGAGCTGTTGATTATTTCCAACTCCCACTCGAGCAAGCCTGTGCGCAACCGAGTTACCTCCCCGTTGCACATAGTTTACCAACGACTGAGGAAAAGACTGGAGCAAAAAATGCAGATCATTAATGATAGGCCCCAAAAATGAACAATCCTCCTCCTGACCCTTCATGGCAGCCAAAACCAAGCTAGAGTCACCTTCAAAAATCATCATTTTACCAACATGGCAAAACGTTTGGGCCAGCAACACAGCCTGACGAGCAGCAAAAAGTTCTGCATGGAACGCAGAACATGTCCAACCAATCGAACCCGCAGTTGCAGCAATGAAAACTCCCCTATGATCTCGCATAACAGCACCAAAGCCTCCCCCTCGAACCTTGCAGGATCCACCATTAAAATAAATTAAAAATAAATTTGACATTGTCAAATTTGACTTCAAACCACAAAGCTTTTAAATCTAGTCAGCAAATAACACTTTGATTTGAGAGACTTTTAACGTCAAATATGCACAGAGACACTCCAACTAAGATTTTGACACCTCATTTGAAGATGCTATTCAATTCCTCATTAGCTTTAGAAAAAAGAACAAGCCTTTCGTGAAAAAGGTTTTTCCAGAAGATGAACAACTTGACAAGATGACACAGCACAACTCCTCGAAATGGCATATAACATTGATACGAATATTGGTTTCATATTTGTGATTTCAGGCAAGTGTGATTGATTCAATCACGATGGTTAGCATTCGACTGCTATATACAGAAAACCTATGTTTGAACAGTGTCTTCTGCCAGCTGCGATTTGTTTGTACATCGAACTAACCACACGGTAACCGATGTGAACTCAGGAACTTAAAATAATAAAATGGAGAAAGTGAAAGGCTCCATTTTGAGATGCTAGTAAGATAACATGATGTGGAACAAATGGCCGAATGGATTGAAGAGGAAATGGACCATTGGTAGGCAAAAGGTCGCAGTGAGAATTTGCGAATTTGTTGTCTGAACTCCGATTTGCGTTTATGATACTTTTTTGCAAAGGGAACGACTTCATAGTTCAAATTCACCGTTTAATTACGATGGATTTTAGTCATCCGAAGACGTTTCCACCCAAAATGCAATTTCAATTTCCGTATTAAAAAAAGGGAACATTTGAGTTGCTAGCGTTCCTTTGTATGGTACTAAGAAGCTCCCCTTTCTCAAACGGGATCAAGGCTTCAACCCATACCATAGAGTCCTGTTAAGCAACAGATTGCTTTCACTTTATATAGGTACAGACTCCACTCTTGAGTATCAAAAGTAAACAGTGAAACAAACACTCGTACCTTCAATTTATCCTGAACTGCAGAATTCAGTTATACCCTCACCACTCAGAGCAGATATGCAAATCACATCATCTCTCTTTTCTGCTTCCAACTTCATCCTTTCAGGACCGCTAAACTTATCAACCTGCAAAAAAAGAAGCCGTGTCTCATCAATCTTGTGTATACGCTTCACAAATGAAATGCAGTACATGATCATCGGTATTTATAAAAGAAGACCCATGCACACTCCATGCAAATAAAAGAACAACCAACACCACACAATTCACTGATATGGTGATTAAACTATAATCACTTACAAAAAAAAAATTGAACATTTATGGGACTTCTCTCTCCGGAGAGGTCCCAAATTTGAGTACCCTATTCCTATTGACTAAAATAAGTACTAGCAAACTTATTCGGTTCTTTAATTATCATCACATCAAATGCCTAGAAAAATTTTGCCCACCTCAATCAACACGAGTCAACAAATTTCAAGAATTTGTATAATGTGTTCGTCCCTTATAAAAACATAACAACATAAGAAAAACTAATGAAAATTGTTTGAAAAATTTAAGTTTTAACGATAAAGACAAAATAAAAAGTAAAATAAAATAGTACTGTGATTGACTTTTTAGTATAAAAATGTGATTTTTCGTTGAAATAAACCGTACCGGGAGCTTTTAGTTAAAGATTTCAAAATCATATCACTTGAGGTGATTAACTATATGAACATAATCAATTTCTAGAAAATTAAAATTACATAATTAACCAAAACCATACTTAGGAATCTAAGCAAAGAATCAAAAGAAATATGAGGGAATGGGGAACTTACAGCGATGATGAAGACAACGAAAGAGGATTTCGATCTCGGCGAATCGAACGAACCGAAAGACCGACTTGACACCCTGAGTCAATGCGGATGCATTTGAAACTCGCTTCGCCACGGCTGCGCGGTTGGGCTGGGCTTGGGAATCGGGATTTAATATCATCGGCATTAGATCGGCGATCATCCGATGGGCGATGGTGGTCAGGTGGTGGTGTGATTGGTGTCACGGTTGGGTGGAGCCGCGGAGAGCTGGAGGCGGAGGTGGAGGCAGGCAGGTCTGTGTGCACCGTTGGATCTCGGTGTGGGTGGACAGTACAGCCTTAGCCTGTAGTCTGGTCGCGAAGAACTTATGAAGACGAAGAGAAAGGCTTGGAACCTCGAAGACGGAGAGACCGAAGCGTCGATGGTGAAGACGCAGGACGGCGGACAGGAGCCTTGTTAGCATTGGGCCAGGGCCGGGCCTGCTAGGGAGAAAGGAGAAATTCAAGAGAAGTCGGACCCGAGATCAATCTGCTAGTCTCAATTTGCAAGATCAGCCTTAGATTCAATTGGCGAGATCATCATTACATCATTTCTCAAGCTCTCCAATCAATTTTACGGTGTAATATTCAACGGGCGACGCACGTTCATTTGCTTACGTTCCAACGGGCGACGCACGTTCATTTGCTTACGTTCCAAAATTTGATTGCTTTTGGTCTACTTCTTGGTTGCTTTTGTCTATGACTTTACGCCTGTCGTATACATAAATAGAAATAGTAATATAAGTGTGGCCATTGCATTCTCATCTTAGCCAGTCATTGTCCTTATGCATGAAAACCAATTCTTTGTTTTATTAACTTCTATTTCTTCCTCACAAGCGTAAACACAATTTCAACTGAAAAACATTAAGCGTTCTGCATAAAGTGAATAGAGCCCCAGCAAACTAGTGCATAAAAATAAATTACAATACAGGAAACATCTACAAAGAATCTTTCTTCTAAAAGGAAGACTCGAAATTTATTTATCGGAAACAAGCACACTCTCTGCTTCTCAAGCCGTCAAAGGATCTAGAGCAAGCAATTCACCGCAGGTTATCATACATATTGGCTTCGACAAATGCAACTTCTGAGTTGAGAGGAGTTGAGTAACTCGTTTCATTATAGGACGAGAATGCGGACTGGGATTCAAGCATGAAAACGCAATCTTCATAAGAGAGAGTACTTCCCCTGCTTCTTGATGTGTTGGAGGCAAAATGCGTTGGTCCAGAACATCCACAACTGACATTTGATGGGGTGGTAATGTTGATGCTGATGACGACGTGGACGAAGAAGGCACTGATAAGAATGATGAGAAAAAATCACCAGGATGCCTTCCCATGATTGTTTCCATAGCAACCACTCCAAAGCTATAAACATCACATTTTTCGTTCACTTCCATGGTATATGCAAGTTCTGCTCATAATAAGACCATAGCAATATTGAGACTATTAGTTTGTATATATAATACCTAAACCGAAGATAAAGAGTGAAAATTTTGAACAAAACTAATTTACAACAAACTTTTAAAAAAACTAGATGATAATAGAGCTAGAAAAGTGGACCCTGTTAACCCATCTCAATTTGCTCGCAAAATTTTAAAATCAAAATATCGCTGACTTGGAGGAAAGAGAGTGCTGACTTGGAAGAACATACAATAAACCCAAGTATCGCCTATACTTTATGTGAATGTTCTCTTCAAAATCAAAGTATGTAACGTGGCATGTTTAATCCATCCTAACGTTGAAAAGAAATAAATTTGGCCAAAAATTAATCATAAACAACACTAAATTAATAAGGTTAAAAGGAAGAAAACATATTACCTGGTGCGACATACCCATATGTGCCTGCAACGGTAGTCCAAGTTGTTGAGTCTGGATTCAAAAACTTAGCAGTGCCAAAGTCTGAAACAGAGGCCTCATATTCAGAATCCAACAAAATATTCTTGGTTGATATGTCCCGGTGCACAATTGGTGGCAAGCAATCGTGGTGCATGTATGCCAAGGCATGAGTTACACCGTTAACAATATTAACCCTTTTTCTCCACCCTACTTCTTTAGCTTCTTCATCTTTGCTCAAAATTGCAGCCAAGCTACCTCTATCAACAAACTCGTACGCCAAGAACGAGTGTCGATGGTGTGAACATAAACCATAAAGCTTCACAATATTCCGGTGTCTTATCTCTGTTAGTGCCCTTATTTCATTCAAGAATGTCGTCTCCAAATTCTTCTCACCATCCCACAATTGATGTAGTTTTTTCACAGCCACTATGTTGTCACTTGACAAATTTGCTTTGTAAACGCTTCCTTGTCCTCCGCTCCCGATGCAATATGTGGAATCAAAATTTCTGTCGCCCTTATGATTTCCTCATACATTGACTTTCCATCAAAATTTAAAACTGAAAATGATATTTCTTCATGCAAGTTTTTTTCTGCTTTTTCTGGACGTTTCTTCTTTCTTTGCACTACAAATTTAATTGTAAAGAAAGCAGAAACAAGTAAAATTGCTGCTATAAGGGAGAATGTGATTCCAAATACCCATTTGCGGTCCTTTCTTGGGCCAATTGTGCAAGATTGCAAACCTTCAACGTTGCCGCACAATCCTTTGTTCCCTTGTAAAGCTTCTGGCAAAGCTTGTCGAAATGCTTTGTTGTTGGGAATGGGACCTTCCAATTCGTTGTAAGATACATCCACATATGACAAGCTGTGCATGCCTTCAAAACTTGGTGGTATGATACCCGAAAGATTGTTGTGAGAAAGATTGAGTGTCAGTAGACTCTCCATATTGCTGATTTGAGGTGGTATGCTACCTTCAAGTGAATTGTGACTTAAATCAAGTTCGTTCAACTGAACTAACTTTTCCAACTTCAATGGAATTCCTTGGGAAAATTGATTGTTGCTCAAATTCAGATGGTACAGTTTGAGAAAGTCGCCTAATGTGCTCGGAATTGACCCATTTAATTTGTTTGATGACAAGTCGAGATATTCAAGATCAACAAGCAATCCAAATTCCAAAGGTATATAGCCTGAAAGTTGATTTCCATTCAACATCAACTTCTGCAAAGAAGTCATTCTCCCGAACCCCTTCGGAATGGCCCCAACTAAGTGATTTAAAGAGAGGTCAAGTTTATGGATTTTGTCAGCATTGACAATCTCGGGAGGTATGCTACCAATAAGGTTGTTTCCCGCAATTAGTAAGGTTTCTAATTGTGCGCATTGTCCCCATTTTTTGTGAAATTTCACCATAAAACTTATTGTGACTCATATCTATGAAATCAAGATTTGGATAAACACCAAAGTGTTTTGATATATTGCCTGTGAATTGGTTCCCTTCAAGATGAACTCTAACTAAGCTTTTGCATGTTTTCAAGCTTTTGGGGATTAAACCTGTCAAATGGTTATTATCCACCGAAAGGTTTTGGAGTTGTCCATTACAGCAAATATTTTGAGGCAAATAACCTTTTAATTGGTTGCTATGCAAGTGCAGTACAACCAACTTTTTCAAATTCCCTATCTCTTTAGGAATAGTGCCAGAAAGATTATTAATATTGAGATAGAGAGTGGTTAGGTTTGTGAGATCACCAAGGGATGTTGGGATTGAACCGCTCAGCTGGTTCTCAGATAATCTTAGGTCCACAAGAGATTTCAATTTCCCTATCTCTTTAGGAATTGTGCTAAAAAGACTATTATTGTAGAGATAGAGAGTGGTAAGGTTCGTGAGATCACCAAAGGATGTTGGGATTGAACCACTGAGCTGATTGTTACACAATTGTAGGTCCACAAGAGATTTCAAATTCCCTATCTCTTTAGGAATAGTGCCATAAAGATTATTAATATTGAGATAGAGAGTGGTTAGGTTTGTGAGATCACCAAGGGATGTTGGGATTGAACCGCTCAGCTGGTTCTCAGATAATCTTAGGTCCACAAGAGATTTCAATTTCCCTATCTCTTTAGGAATTGTGCTAAAAAGACTATTATTGTAGAGATAGAGAGTGGTAAGGTTTGTGAGATCACCAAGGGATGTTGGGATTAAACCGCTGAGCTGATTGTTGCACAATTGTAGGTTCACAAGAGATTTCAATTTCCCTATCTCTTTAGGAATTGTGCTAGAAAGATTATTATTGTAGAGATAGAGAGTGGTAAGGTTTGTGAGATCACCAAAGGATGTTGGGATTGAACCACTGAGCTGATTGTTATACAATTGTAGGTCCACAAGAGATTTCAAATTCTCTATCTCTTTAGGAATAGTGCCAGAAAGATTATTAATATTGAGATAGAGAGTGGTTAGGTTTGTGAGATCACCAAGGGATGTTGGGATTGAACCGCTCAGCTGGTTCTCAGATAATCTTAGGTCCACAAGAGATTTCAATTTCCCTATCTCTTTAGGAATTGTGCTAAAAAGACTATTATTGTAGAGATAGAGAATGGTAAGGTTTGTGAGATCACCAAGAGATGTTGGGATTGAACCGCTCAGTTGGTTCTCAGATAATTCTAGGTACACAAGAGATTTCAATTTCCCTATCTCCTTAGGAATTGTGCTAGAAAGATTATTTTTGTAGAGATAGAGAGTGGTAAGGTTTGTGAGATCACCTAGTGATGTTGGGATTGAACCGCTGAGCTGATTGTTACACAATTGTAAGTCCACAAGAGATTTCAATTTCCCTATCTCTTTAGGAATTATGCTAGAAAGATTATTATTGTAGAGATAAAGAATGGTAAGGTTTGTGAAATCACAGAGGGATGTTGGGATTGAACCACTGAGGCAATTGTTAGAAAGATCAAGATAGATGAGTTTGGAGAAGGAACTGATTTGAGCTGGAATGACATCAAAGAGATTATTGTAGCTGAGGTTGAGGTATTTAAGATTAGGGAAAGACAAGAAGAAAAACTCATGTAGCGTACCTTGTATCCCAAAATTGGTAAGGTTTATCACATTGACACTTCCAACAGCATTGCATGAAATACCAATCCAGAAGCATGGGGCTGCCTTTGTATGAACGGGTAGGTAAGTCCACGAGTTGAGATTTTGCAGGCGGGTATGGTTTTGAAAGGTGGCTTTCCATTTGAGAAGCGCTTCTGCTTCAGTATTAGAAATAGCAGAAGCAAAAGCAGAGCAACTTGGCAGTGAAAGAAGTTGTACGAATAAGACAAGGCAATAAGCCAAAAGGCATAGTTTATGAAAATCTAAGGATGTCATGGCCACTAGTGTTTAATTTCGTGTACATATTAGACTCTACTCCTAGGGCTTATTTATAATGGCATCCATGAGTTATTGTAATTAATTCAGTTTTCCTCTCGAGCCAATCTCAACTGTGTGCTTTACGACTCTGACTTGGAATCTCATTCCCACCTCTTTTTTTATTGTCCCTTTACTGAAGGTCTATGACAAAATGTGTTGATGAGATGTGGGGTTCCTTGGCTTCATCCTCCATGGCCTTCTTTTGTGGACTATGTGGCAGCCCATTGGCAGGGGAAATCCCTTCCCGTGGTGGTTAAAAAGCTCTCTTTTGCAGTCATAGTCTATTGTATTTGGTGTGAACGGAATAATTGCATGTTCAACAATTGTAAGAAAACCCATGCTGCTATTCTTCAGTCAATCACTATTATGATCTGGTGTTGGCTGTGTACTTTGCATGTTAAGCCCTCAACCATTACATGACGATCCTCCATAATTGGAATGTTGCTGCTCATTAGGCTCTAGGTTTTCCCATCGTCTTCCCTTGCGTGGGTTAGGCTTTGTTTTGGGGTTGTTTCCCCTTTGTTTTTTTGGTACTGTGAGAGTTTCTCTCTGCTTGTTTCTTGTTCTCTTTGGGCCTTGCCCTATTAATATAAATCTTTATTTAACAAATAAATAAATAAATAATTCAATTCAACCCGCACCGAAAAAGGGGGTGGGAGAGAAGAAAGATACAGGACTTGCAAAATGTTTTGTACGTACAAGATAAGTTAAAGTCTTAGTCTCAATGTGTGTAATTGTATGGGGCCCACCCCTCTCCTTCTAACGGTTGTTTCCTATAATATACAATGTACTTAGTTCCAAATGTGTGTAATTGTCAATCTTTCTTCTCAAATATCACTATCTCAGCCATGTCCTCTTGTTCACATCTCACTTATTTCTATTTTTTTCTTTTCATTAAAGTTATTCCGTTTGGTGTCACAAGTTCAAACTTATCAAATAAAAGAAAATTTGGGAAATGCTAGTGGACTTTATGTTTTATCTCTTTGGGGTAATCATCTAAAGATTATTAAGAATAAGTTGTAACATGTAATGTGTAGTGCTATTTATCTTTTTATTTGTAAATAAAAGGTATTGTGTTCAACTTTTACGAGCATTAATAATTTTGAAATTTAATTATGGCTAGTTTAGGGTTGCTTAAATTTTTTAAAAGCAGCTTTCTTTAAAAAGTTGGATCTTTAATTGTGTTTGGTAAATAATATTTTTTTCTTTCCAAATCATAGGTCTAAAACAGCTAAAGAAGCAACTCTACACATGCTTCTCAAAAAAGTATTTTTTTTTCTTCCAAATGACACAGGTGAACAATACCAATTAATGAAACTTTCATATTGACAATCCTACCCCATCTTCCCTTTTTTTTTTCTTTTTTTTTCTTTTCTTTTCTATCTAAAAGCACTTTTAGCACTATAATTTACCATTACACTTACCTGCTTTTTTCACAGCTATTTATTCTCACAGTACATCAAAAGAAGTTTTGAAAAGAAAAAAAAATTACAGCAACCCCAAACTAGCCCGAAATCTACCTCCATGATTGTGTTGTATAAAAAAATTTAGGTTTTAACTCAAAAATTACTCTTATCCTTCAATAGTTTTGGTTAAAAATTTTAGGCCGAGATTATTAAAGAATGATTTTAGCTTAATGTTTTGTCGGTTAATTTTTTTTAAAGTAAAATTTATGTAAATTAGCTTGATTTATTTATGAACATTTTAACTTAAAAATATTTAAATTCCGATAAACCTGCCCCTTGAAACATGGAAGTCATGGAACAATAATTACATTTTTATAAAGATAAGGATTACAACTTTGAAACTTGAAATAGTTCTATATGCTTCAATCTTACAATAATTAATAATACAAACATAATTAAAACACTAAATAAAGATTAATAAACGATAAGGAAAATACTACATAAGAATTACAATAATTACTAATATTAATAATACTCATCAACATTTGGTTGACTTGGTCCTTGAATTTGTGGTGGATTTCGTGGTGGACTTGGGTAATAGACATTATATTGGTCATCATCCTCAAAGGTATTCCTTACGGCATTCCTTAATTTCCGCTTGCTTGTCGCGGAATAATTTCTTTCTATTTTAGGTATATTTGTTGGGGTCCTCCCTCGTTACATCAAAATCAAATGTCATCTTGTAAGGGTCCTCCTTCTAATATGATATTTTGCTATCTTGAAAATTTTGGAAGTCGGTAGAAAAATGGAAGAATTGTTTGAGGAAAGTGAATTTTGGGTAAATGTTTGAACAAATTCATGTATTTATAGAGTTTTTGGATGAATTTTGATTTAAATAATTTCTTTTAAATGTTTTAGCCGTTGAATTTAATTTTGGACCGTTAGATCTTTTTTTACAGTTAATTTAATATAAGAATTCAGCCGTTCAATTTAATTTAATTATAAATTTGATTTCAAAAAATTTGAATATGTACTGTTGGATCAACCAATTGCTCATCATTTCCAGTCATTGGGACCCAGGAGTTGATGACTTGTTGCATGAGATGTTTCTGATGCGTTGCTTAGCTACAGCTTGGCACTTTGTAGGCGTGTTCATGAGCTAGGGCAATCACTCTCCTTGGCTCATTTTTTTTTTAAGGGAGTGTTAACGAAAAGCCCACGGTACTGTTCATTTTAACGAAAAATCATATTTTTACACTAAAAAGTCAATCATGGTACTATTCACTTTACCCTTTATTTTATCCTTATCGTTAAAACTCAAAGTTTTCATGCCTTTTTCATTAATTTTCCTTTTTTTGGGAGTGTTAACGAAAAGCCCACGGTACTGTTCACTTTAACGAAAAACCATATTTTTACACTAAAAAGTCAATCATTGTACTATTCACTTTACCATTTATTTTGTCATTATCGTTAAAACTCAAAGTTTTCATGTCATTTTCATTAATTTTCCTTTTTTTAGAGAGGGGAGGTGAGAATTTGGCCCAAAAGCAAGTTTTAACATTTTGAAACTCAAAATTTGAGTTTTAAACCAATCATTGTATATGGTCCTTGGAGTTCCACAAATGTATTTTGGCAATTTGGATGACTTTGGAGTCTTTTATAAATGCAATTTGGTAACTTGGATAACTTTGGAGTCTTTTTATATAAATGCAATTTGGCATTTTGGCCAAAGTCCAAGTCGATTTTAGAGTAGCAAGTGGCCCTCTACCACAGTGGTAAAGAGAAATGTTGTCCTTGCATCACAGAATGAGTTCGAATCTTATCAGCTACCTAATTAAACAAATCTATCGTTTGAAAAAGAAAAAAGAAAAAAAAAAAGAGTCGATGTTCGAGTCTTCCATCAATACAGTTTGGCCATTTGGCCAAAGTCCAAGTCAAGGGCCATAAATGCAATTTGGTAATTTACTTCAAATTTTTTCTTCGAAGAATAAGAGCTTGATGATCTTAATTGATACTTCCAGTTTTATTCTTAGTATTCTCCTTTATTTCATATGACTGTGACAAAATATTTTGTTTTCCACAAGAAAATTACATCTTCATGACTCAGTGTCTCTCAGACTACGAAAAAGTTTTTCCAATTAATAATTTTTCCTCTTGACGGAGTCTTCCATAAATTGACTCACTCCAAGTCAAAAGTCTTCAATTGTCGCCAGCTAGTACAGTGCACCACTTTGTTTTATGGAGCCCACCCCACTCCTTCTAGATTTGAATCCCATTTGGATCCAAATTTTGGGGATCATATTCCTAATGATCTTCGTATCTTAATCATTCATTGTGCAATAAAAAATTATTTGACTTTTTTTATTTAAAATTAAACGTAAATAACATCCGACGAAAATTGACCGTACGATGTACGATGAACGGCTATAATGTAGAGATCTCTATGATTCCCACAAAATGAACCCGGAGAAGATCCTCTTCCACTCCTTCGAACGGTTATCCCGGATGTGTGTAATTGTCAATCTTTCTTCTTCTCAAATATCACTATATCAACCCCTCTTCTTCATTTCTCATTTATTTTTATGTTCAAATTTATCAAATAATCTAAAGAATCAGTTGTAAGTTGTAATGCTGGTGAACTTTACGTTTTATCTCTTTGAGGCAATCATCTAAAGATTATTAAGAATCAGTTGTAAGTTGTAACACATACTGTGTAATGATGTTTATCTCTTTATTTATAAATAAAAGGTATTATGTTCAACTTCTATGAGCATTAATATTTTTGAAAACTTAATTATGGTCAGTTTGGGGTTGCTTAATTTTTTTTTTTTTGAAACAGCTTCTCGAAAAAGTTGAGTCCTTAATTGTGTTTGGTAAATAAAAAAATGTTTGTTCTTGTAATTAAAACCCTAGTATAGATATATCGTTGTATCAAAATAAGAGAATAACGTTATTAAGCAAAGTCACCAATGTGCAGATTTTATCATGAAGGTGCTGAAATTAAGTCACCTAAATTAGAAGTTCTCCTATCCGAATTTGGACTAGAGCCAAAAAGAGAAAGGATATGACCAGAGAGTTGGGTAGGTGTAGATCTGGGAATCAAGGGCGCGGGGTAGGTGTGAATTTTTGTGTCTTGATGATATAATTTCTCCTAAATTAGAGCCGTTGAGGATCACATTAACAAGCTTCCAGGAATACTCTAAAGTCGTCTAACAAACTATAATCAATTATAAACCAACCCATGTAAGAGCAGCATATGTTATAACTTAGGGACTCGCTAGAAATTAGTGTTCACGCATTGTTGCGAGATTGAAAATTAAATGAAAGATTATATTTGAAATATATAAAAGTTAAACAACAACAACGAACCCACATGCCAATCCTACCTGAAGAAGCTTATTATAATTCTATAAGTGGAACAGGGGTGAGTAATTCTAAGTGAAAGACCAACACAGATAAATTATACATTCTGAATTTCTTGATTACAAAATGCACTCCTCACAATGAAGTCTTCCACTGGACCAATACTTTCATTGGGCTCAGATACTTGTAATCCAGCCTAATTCGATAAACCCAGCAGTGGCAGTCTTGTAAATAAAACGAAAAGACCAAATGGCACATATGTAATTAGCTTGAAATCGAGGGGCCATTCCATATGCAACATGAATAGTGCAATTTCTTTTCCAGACTTGGGTAATATGCCATAATATTCTCATCACACACCATTCCAATTATTAATACCCCACCCTCCCTTTCCTTCCTCATTGATTTTCCACGTGGCAAAATTTGGATACGTTCAATATTGAAACATTTGAATGCAGAGAGAGGAGTTCGTTTGACAAAAAAAAAAAAAAAAAAAAAAGAGGACAGAGGAAGGAGTAAGATGCCACATGGATGCATGTAGTTGGTGTGCAACAAACAATGCATAAACAAGCACGTGTTCTATAAAAAAATTCCCATGAGAAAGGGAGGTGGCGTGGAATTGGTAGTATTGGAGGTAGGTGGTATAAATTTGGTGACTTTGAAGTAGGGCTGGGCACAGGACGGGCCGGGTCCAAATTTGAAGGAACCAGATTGGATCCGGGTTTAAAAGAAAATGATCGAGTTGGGGCGGGTACATCAAATTTTAATACAGGAATCGGACCTGTCGGACCGGGTCCACGAGTCCCTTTTTTTTAGGGGGGGGGAACTGAATTTTTAGAGCAGACAGCACAGATTCACAACAACAGCTACACAAATTGAACACGGGTCCAATTATCACTGTAAGTCAGAACACAGGTGTTCGCAGGAATCGCAACATTCTCTCAGTTCTCTTTAAGGTGAATACATGTTTCATAACCTGCCAAATTGCATGAAACGCTCCACTGATCTAAATTGCATGAAACATTCAAATCTAGTTTACATAATATAATTAAAAATATTCAACAGAATATTCAAATTCAATCAAACAAAAGATTTGAAATTGGAACAGAATAAAAGTCAAGATTCAAGAACCTAACAAAATCCCTAGGAAATCATAATTTAATTTTCAATCCTAAATCCCTAAAACATAATACCTTGAAACTGAAAAAGACTGTCAGCAGAGCTCGGCTTCCATGCAAATCTGAGTCAAATAGAGGAGATGACTGATTCGTCATTTTAAGTTGTTCGACTTCATTGTTTGTCCCCTCGAGTTCGACAGAGAGAGACTGACTTCGTCATTCGTCCCTTCGAGTTCGACAGAGATAGATTGAGAATCGAGAGGGATACGAGTTAGTCTGGACTCTGGGAGAAAGAGATCGAGAGGGAGGATTGAGTTTCAATTCGAGTCAAATGAGAGTCTTCGAGAAAGTGATGTGATGTGTGTGTGTGTGTGATTTGAGTGGTGTGTGTGAGATTTGAGTGTGTGTATGTGAGACGACACTTTATTGGATACAGTTCGGGCCGGGGTGTCACATCTCGGCCCGGGGTCCACCACATCCCGGGCCCGATCCACCACCGTGGCACGATATTGTCTGCTTTGGGCTCCGACTACGCCCTCACGGTTTTATTTATGGGAACTCACACGAGAACTTCTCAATGGGTCACCCATCATGGGATTGCTCTCGCACACTACTCGCTTAACTTCGGAGTTCCGATGGAACTCGAAGCCAGTGAACTCCCAAAAAGCCTCATGCTAGGTAGGGATGGAAATATACATATAAGAATCACTCCCCTGGACGATGTGGGATCTTACACGGGGGTCTTGTCTTCATAATATTGGACCCGCCTCGCCCCTCTGTTTACTTGGACCCGTCCCGCCCCGTTTTGTATATAAAATAATATGGACCTGCCCCGTACCCGCCCCCTTTTAGAAAAAAGACTTAATATAAATTTGGTGATTTTGAAGAGTTGCTTTGTTTGGTGTATTCTTATTAATTAAATCTTTTTAGCAAAAACTTAAATAGGAGGCCATATTATGCCCCTTCTACCTGTAAATAAGTCTTTTATCTAAATTATTATCCAAATCTTCTTATCCAAGTAAAAAATAAAGGAACAAACACACATACATTAACACAAGGATTTAGCAGTTACCCATTACTTATCTTCTCATTACCCATGTAATCAACTTCTATCATCCACATTAATATTTTGTACTAAAAAGAAAAAGAAATTAAACTTGTATTATTATTAGAGGAAAAAATAAGAGCAAAAGAATTGAAGTCAAATTAACATTTTTATTTCATGCTTGCGTGTTTCTTTTGTGTGCCCGTTGTCTTTCTCTACAATTTGTCCATGAAGATTTATTGTTGTTTTCATTAGTTTGTCACAAGCAACTATAGTAAAAAGGGGACAAAAGCAAGTGCGATAAGATATGCTGGCAAAGCAATGTAGAAGGACATGGGCAGAGGTGCGCGTGGCCGAGGGGTTCCCAAGCCAGGGAAGCTCAAACAAACCCAAGAATTGTTTTATTCACACCCTACATATTGTTGACTATACCTACTTATTTAATACACTCCACTTTTGTTTTTTAAGGAAAAGTAAGTTATTCATTGCATTGAAATAGAACACATTCAAACTGAGGATAGTGTGCATAATGGGCCTCAATAAAATCTTACGGGAGCTTTCAACCTGGTCGAAGGGAAAAAAGCGTCTCGCACAACACAGAGAACTATTCTAAAATGACAATACATAACAAAACATAACAATTTACAAGCTTTCTTCGAATAAAGTATCCCTAAGCAAATCAAGGGGGTCTTCAAACCACAAGAGCTGTTGATTACTTACAACTCCCACTCGAGCAAGCCTGTGCGCAGCCGAGTTACCTCCCCGTTGCACATAGTTCACCAACGACTGAGGAAAAGACTGGAGCAAAAAATGCAGATCATTAATGACAGGCCCCAAAAATGAACAATCCTCCTCCTGACCCTTCATGGCAACCAAAACCAAGCTAGAGTCACTTTCAAAAATCATCCTTTTACCAACATGGCAAAACGTTTGGGCCAGCAACACAGCCTGACGAGCAGCAAAAAGTTCTGCATGGAACGCAGAACATGTCCAACCAATCGAACCCGTAGTTGCAGCAATGAAAACTCCCCTATGATCTCGCATAACAGCACCAAAGCCTCCCCCTCGAACCTTGCAGGATCCACCATTAAAATGAATTAAAAATAAATTTGACATTGTCAAATTTGACTTCAAACCACAAAACTTTCAAATCTAGTCAGCAAATAACACTTTGATTGGAGAGACTTTTAATGTCAAATATGCACAGAGACATTCCAACTAAGATTTTGACACCTCATTCTCATTTGGAGATGCTATTCAATTCCGCATTAGCTTTAGAAAAAAGAACAAGCCTTTCGTGAAAAAAGGTTTTTCCAGAAGATGAACAACTTGACAAGATGACACAGCACAACTCCTCGAAATGGCATATAACATTGATACGAATATTGGTTTCATATTTGTGATTTCAGGCAAGTGTGATTGATTCAATCACGATGGTTAGCGTTCGACTGCTATATACAGAAAACCTACGTTTGAACAGTGTCTTCTGCCTGCTGCGATTGGTATGTGCATCGAACAAACCACACGGTAACTCGTGTGAACTCAGGAACTTAAAATAATAAAATGGAGAAAGTGAAAGGCTCCATTTTGAGATGCTAGTAAGATAACATGACGTGGAACAAATGGCCAAATGAATTGAAGAGGAAATGGACCATTGGCAGGCAAAAGGAAGCAGTGAGAATTTGCGAATTTGTTGTCTGAACTCCGATTTGCGTTTATGATACTTTTTTGCAAAGGGAACGACTCACCGTTTAAGTTAGGTATGACATACGATGGATTTTAGTTTAAGTTAGCTATGACATACGATGGATTTTAGTCATCCGAAGATGTTTCCCCCCAAAATGCAATTTCAATTTCCGTAATAAAAAAAAGGGAACATTTGAGTTGCTAGCGTTCCTTTGTATGGTACTAAGAAGTTCCCCTTTCTCAAACGGGATCAAGGCTTCCATCCATACCATAGAGTCCTGTTAAGCAACATATTGCTTTCACTTTATATGGGTACAGACTCCACTCTTGAGTATCAAAAGTAAACAGTGAAACAAGCACTCGTACCTTCAATTTCTTCTGAACTGCAGAATTCAGTTATACCCTCACCACTCAGAGCAGATATGCAAATCACATCATCTCTCTCTTCTGCTTCCAACTTCATCCTTTCAGGATCGCTAAACTTATCAACCTGCAAAATAAGTAGCCGTGTATCATCAATCTTGTGTATACGCTTCACAAATGAAATCCAGTACATGATCATCGGTATTTATAAAAGAAAGACCCACGCACACTCCATGCAAATAAAAGAACAACCAACACCACACAATTCACTGATATGGTGATTAATATCAATCCCTCATTTCACAACATTGGATTAATAACTGAGCCATCCGGGAAATTCGCCCTGCCTTGTTCCACACCATCAACTTTGGAATTGCAGACACGTCTATCTGTTGCTCAGCTAGTGGATGACTGAAGTCAATATCAACATATCCAATAAGATACCAATGTCCACCATCGCGAATGCATCGTTTAAAGGTTTCCAAAATTGTACCTGATATCCACCACATGCACCAATGATGGGGACTCTGATATCTCCTCTAGTGTTGCTCTGAAGGCAGCAAACTGTAAGATGCAGTTAGTGGAAAGAAGTGCAAGACATAATCAGCTTGACTGACATTGGACTGACATTCGTCAAAACATTTTTCTTGCAATACAGTTGAAAATGAACAGTAGGAGGCAGAGAAATTAAACTGCACGGTAGCAGCTTCATGAATAAATTGTGCAAGCATTTTACCACTGTAGTTGGTAACTTCTGAATGAAACCAACAGTATCTTTGAGAAGAACTCTTTCCCATTCTTCGTCTGGAAGAAAATGGAACACACATATGTCTTACAACCAAATGGAAGTAAAGTATCACAAACTTATAGAACCTGAAATATAAAATTTTCAGCGTCAGACTAGCATGTCTACTAGAAACAGACTTAAAAAGCAGACTCAATGCAAAAGCCCGACGGTTGAACTGGAACTGATTCATAATTAATTAACTGATTGCATGAAGTCGAAATTCATGCAACCCCTGAAGCCTGTTCGGTACTACATCAAAATCAAAATTTTGCTTCTCTGACTTTTCAGTTGTTTATACGATACACCAACACCGGGCAGAAACTAAAAATCACCACCAAATAAATGTGGATTCCACAATGTCAAAGTATTTACTGATATTGTCGACCAATTAAAGGGCCTACTTGAGTTGCGTAAGATACGCTTATCCACTTCAATTTACTTCTCACCCGTCCTCTTAACCTGTCCTCCTGCTTAAAGCTCAAGATGGGTCCACACTTTTGTTAGCCGAGGTAACTGGTCTTCCATTTGTGCCGATGCAACGTAGAAGAGATCACGATTGAAATATTGTCAGCATGATAATTCTGGAAAATTTCTATTTTGTTGTTACGTTACTAGTTACTACAACTGTACCAAGTAAGCTGTTGCCGTATATTCAAATATAACGAAACAAATTATTACCTAGAATTAAAAGCACAATGATAAATTGCCTGTAAAGCTGCTTCATGTGTTGCAGCCCGCTGGTTAAATTATCCAGAACGAGGGCAGTGCAATCACAAACTCTAACCTCCCCACCAAAAGCCTTTTCCAAATTGGGCAAACGCCTAGTAACATTTGAAACAAAGACAAAAACTTTAAACATAGTAGTGCTTGAAAAGTTCTTGGAGAAAATAAAATTTAAACAGAAAAATCTCCATAGGTCTCAAATCAAAGATAAAGAGAAGAGAGTTCAATTCTAATCCAAATGATCCAACAGGCACAACAAATTGATCGATGCGGGGGAAAGGGAGTCAGTATCGGCAAAATAAAACTGTGCAACTCATGCAAATCAGTCCACAGTGACCATAAGCATGTACGTGATAACTATAAAGTCATGTTTCATACCCTGATGAGAGCTCATCATCAAATATCACATTCTCAACTCCCAATGCGTTAATTTTTCTCTTGATTTCTGATAGGATTTTTACTACTCATGTGAACGGGCTTAAATCTCCTATTTTACTTGCAAGAATCACAAGGTTATTGTAGTATAAACGGATTTCGTAAGGTCGTCTCCACAGGAATTATTAAATAATTCGAACTAATCAGATTTCATTTAATTATTGTAAAATAGAAATTGGGGTGATTGATTTTATAACCTAATTAAAATAAAAATGAATTTAATGAATTAAAATAAACAATCTGCAATATTAGAGCTAGAGAGAAAATAAAACAGTTTTGTGAGAATAAAATTAAGAAAGCACTAGGGATCCACCATCACCTAACAATCCTATGAATTTTTACCAATTACTTATAATCTACACATGCCACTTTCAAGGTTAGATTTTCCTAATTCATATTCTACTTGGAACCTCCAACATAGAACGTATATCTAACATGCAATCCGTCCGGACGTTCGGATCAAATCTAAACATGAAAGACTCATTATGCTTTATGAAAATCCTTTGAAAAACCATGCAATCCTTAAGACGTGATATTCATCCTAAAAGAAATTACAATTATTAATCACAAAAAGCCAGTGTCAATTTCAAGGAACCTTCCGACCAAAATTGCATCAAATTACTTTTCTAAAAATCCTAATGGTGATCAGGCATTAAAACAATTAGATAGTTTTTATCTCGGTGATTAACAATTCAAAGTACGCATGCAATCAATCATAAGCAATTAAAGAAAAATCACATATTCATGCTAAGGCTCAAGGCTTCACCCTAGCAATAGAAATTAGTTCCACATATTCATAATTGAAACCATAGAAAAATATTCTTAAGAAAATGATTGAAAACACCTTCAAGAAAATCTCCAAAACCCTAGCACTTCTCTCTGTCTCCAAAATTGCATAAAATAAAGTGTAGTCTCAAACTGTAAACGGCTAAGCAATATATTTGCCAAGCCACCACACAAACCCTAGGAAACATAACCCTAAATTAAATAATAAAATTCGTCTAAAATCTGAACAGCCACGTTTTGGCCCATAAGCTGCTCCAAAACTGGCCCAATATAGCTGGATTTAATGTTTGGAATATTCTAAACACTTTTCCAGAAGGCCACGAATCCATCCGAGGTCATCTTGGGCTCCAAAAACGCAATTTAAGCCCAAAAACGTCACTTTCCAACACTGCGCACTGCTTCTTTATTTCATCGCCAGAAAATAACCGCTTGGTGGAAAAATCCCAAATTTTGATACGATCAAGCTAAGTGACTCACAAACGTCCTCCAACTAGAATTACTCCAAAATTCGTCCATTTGGTCCTGTTTTGCTCCAGAGGAAGTCGAAAATCCTATATTGAAAATACAATTCAAAGTATCAAAATTCTTCCCAAAATATTAACCAAAATATACTAAGATTAGGATAAAATATATAATATAAAATCTACTCATCAATTTCTTGCCGGATCCAATCTATGTCCTCGAGTTTGGAGAAACGAGTCTGCATTACGTATAGGCATTAGCAATTTGAAGATAGGGGATCAGCATCAAATAATTGAGCACACATTGACACAAACTACTAGGTTGGACAGCACTATACTTAGGGCTGGGTTCGGTTCTGATCGGTTCGGTTTTTTGTCAAAACCGAAACCAAATCGAAATTTCGGTTCGGTTCGGTTCGGCCCAAATTTTTTTCGGTTTTTTTCGGTTCGGTTTTTTCGGTTCGGTTTCGGTTTTTTTTTTCCTCCAAAAAATGCAAAACAACCACAACATAAGATAGACCCCTGTCACTTGAATTACTTCTCCTTCTATCCTCCTGTTCTTTTTTTCTTTTTTTTTCTTTTTTTTTTCTCAAATCGAAGATCAGATTAAACGCCAAATCCATTAAAGCATAATCAAAACTAAAGTGCTTAACTTGATAGTCGCTAATTTCATTTCAATAACAAAAACACGAACCCAAATGAAATCGATCGAAATCAATCGACGTTCTGCATGATATCCTCTGCGGTGAACTTGGTGCCCTTGTCCTTGTCAGCGGCGGCGCGGCCCTTGGCCTTGCGGTCCAGCAGAGACTTGCGGTCCTTGTCGAGGCGGAGCTTGGTGATGACGACCTTGGAGGGGTTGATGCCGACATTGACGGTGGACCCGTTCACCTTCTCTCGGGTGATCCGCTCGATGTGGATGACCAACTTCCGGCGGTACACCTGGACGACCTTGCCCTCGCGGCCCTTATAGGTCCCACGCACGACCTGGACCTCGTCGTCCTTGCGCACCGGCATCGATCGGACATCTGGAGGAGAGGAGGCAGGGAACGAGAGAGAGAGAGGAAGGGAATGAAAAAAAATAAAAGGTATGGGTATGGTTGCTAGGGTTAAAGGGTTAAAGGGTTTTGTTAAGTTCTCCAAAAAATTAAAAAACATCTCAGACATCCTGGAGGTTCGAACCCGTGCCTTGGGGCTTGAAAAGGTTCACCGAAACCAACTTAGCAACAAGGTATGTTTTGTTATGATTGTATGACTAAACTATTTATAATATTTAAAAAAATAATTAAATATATATATCGGTTCGGTTCGGTTTGGTTCAGTTTCCGAACCTCAAAAACCGAAACCGAACCGGTCAGATTCGGTTCGGTTCGGTGTTTTTTCGGTTCGGTTTTTTTCGGCCTCGGTTCGATTTGGTTTTCGATTTTTTTCGGTTTTCGGTTTTTTGAACCCACCCCTAACTATACTAGCAAAGAACACGAAAGCATCGAAAACTAATCACTTTTTGTGCGTGGAACCAACAACCATAAGTCCAGCAGTATCAGCTAGCTGAGTCAATTCCTTGAGTGATTCCTCCACGCCAAACAAATATTCCTTTTTCTTCTATGCTTGTGTATTTCAACTCATAATCGGGTCAATTTATGAAATCAAATTAATTTCTAATAATTTAGTACCATTTGAGAAATATCATTGAATGGATGATTATTGAAATTTTGTAATGATTTTATAGCATTTTATGAACAAACGATATTTTACACTAAAAAGATGGAAAAGTGGGCTAAGCCACACAATGAGCTAGCTATAATAATGTGGTTCAAATTCACTTTTGGCGACAGTTGAGCCTAACACCTCTTACTTACAAGTGAAGAAGAGTACCAATAGATCGTAGTACTAAGTTGACGTCAAACACTTGACCATTGCCAATGTGGGAATTGATTTTCCATGAGACACCTTGTGGTGCCACTCATGAGTGGGTGTTTCGGAGAACGTAGTCTCACACATCGGCAATTGTGTTTCTTTCTAGTTGATTTAGTTTTTCATTTTTTACTCTAATTTTTTTAGTTTTAAGACATGAATGTCTGCTTAGATGTGTTGGATGATATTGGTTTATATGAAGCATGTTACATGATATATGTTTGTGTGTATTTTGTGCTGTAGTGATTAGTGAGTGAGTGTGTTGACTATTGAAACAACCTTGTGATTCTAAAATTTAAGAAAATTTTGTTTTGGCTTCGTTTTGAGATTTGCTCATAGTAGTGTATTATTATAAATTAGCTGTTTTTGCAGCAAAAGATAAGCTTCATGTGAAGCACAAAGCAGTGTCATTGGAACAGACACATAAAGTGACACCTTTATTCGATTAACTCGTGTCACGATGGTCTCGTGTGATTGTGGAGGTTTACATTTGTGGTTATGGAGTCTGCAGGCATTGGATTGGTTTGTAAGCCTTGTTAGCTCGATGTAAACGGTTATATCTATAACTATGCAGTTTTTTAAACGATTATTCATCGTCGTAACTATTAATTTTAAATGAACGGGTAACTGCGATTATTCACCCGCGAATATTTTGCACATCTCTACCTGCGGCCAAAAACATAAAGAGCGGGCCTCATTGTAAATTTCATACCTAGTGGTTTGGTTGAGGCAACACCTGGGTGCAACTAGGGTCGGGACAACCTGAATCCCTCCTACTCAACTAGATTTTTAAACTTGATGGGAGAGTTAGAATTAACTAAAAACTTGCTCGAACCCAACCCCACCTTACTTTCATTTTGTGTTGGGCTGGAGTTGGGTTGATGTCTTGGCGCCTTTACTTGCCTATGGCGTTCAAATCCAACTCGATCTATAGCCTGAGTAAATACCGCGAGAAGATCTTATGTGCGTGAAATTTCTTCTCATGGTTAGGGCTTGCAAATGGATGATGACGTGTCTATTGTTGCCTCTAACCAATGAAGAGGATCATTTTCGGATCCACTTTGTGAGGATCATAGAGATTATTACATCTTAATCGTTCATTGTGTATCGTACAATCAGTTTTCGTCAGATACTATTTGTGTTTAATTTTAAATAATAAAAAATCAAATGATTTCTGATCGTACGATACACGATGAATACTTAAAGTATAGAAATCTCTCAAATCTCCACAAAGTATATTTGGATGGAATTCAATTCCTAGAAAAACCAATATCGTGTAGATTATAAAGCCATTATATATGTGATGATGGTTCTAGAAAAGAAAACATTACATATTACATGGAACAGTGTCGATGACTTCAATGATGTAAGCATTAACCTATTAAAAAATTTGGTTGAATTAACGTTGTCCCAAAAGATAAAATATAAATATTATAAAATAATAATGATAATATTATACATAAAATGTTTGTGCTCTGATTTTTAATATTTTATCCAATTAGTTGGGCATGTCGTTTTTAGTTTCACACCACAGAGTGTTTTTGTGTTGCCTTTCATGCTTGCAACGTTGCAATCCATTTGAAAAGACTTATTTATCGATTTGTCATCCGAACATGTATAGAGTTGCCAATTTTTTTTCCTAACATTAGATTTTGAAATTTTTTTATCCAATTTTCATCTATCTTGATCACGTAAACAATACATGGTAACTGTATGAGGGCAAAAATATAATTTTGTTTTGATAAATTGAGCACAAAGCCAAGACTTTGCAACTTCTAATCAGAGAAGGCATTGAGGGAGAGCAAAATGTGTGGTCGCACAGGGCCTCAAATTTGAAGGGGCCCCCAGAATTATTGTCGTCTAATATTATGTAATAAGTTCTATATTTAAAAAAAAATGTTTTTGTTAGTACTTTAAAATCTCTTTGTGCACCTCTTATAAAAGTAATTTTTTTTCTAAATATAAAAATTTGAAGTACAATGATATATTTTGTATGTCAGTAATAACACCCAAAAAATGATATATATAATAATATTATATGTTCAAGTGAAACTTCAAAGTTAGAGTTTTTGGTTTTTTATTTTTCATGTTTGGTTGTTTAATTAAGAATGAACTGCTTTTGATTATTTAGTGAAGGTTATATTTGTAACTCTTTGTACGTATAATTAATAACATTTGTAAACTAGCATTCAATGAGTGTTAAAATTTGTTTTGATTTAAGTGACTGTTTTTTAACCTAAATACATAGTTTTAAAAAAATTAAAAATAAAACCTATCTTAAGGAGGGGCCTTTCAAATTTCGCATAGGACATCTAAAATCTCAGAGACGGCCCTGCTTCTAATTGTACTCCCATAGCTATTTCAAACATAAAAGTTTCCAGAATCAACTAGGGGAAAAGAAGAAGGAAAAAAAATTATTTGTTGTCCACATTGTGGATAAAGTTACTTTATTGCCCTCAAACATTTGTCATGTAATCAAAATAGATTGAAAATTGTATTGAAAATTCCAAGATCCAAGGGAGAAATTTTGACTAATTATTAAAGCTCATGACGCTATCAGTTAAAATTAAAATTGAAAGAGAAAAATAACAACTCTTTATAAGTTCAGAAAAAAGAGGGAAATCGACAGATCCGATAAATACCTCTTGAAAAAAAAAAAAAAAAAGGCAGACAAATTGGAAAAACCAATAAAACCAAATTTTACGTCGGATGAGGTGGTCACTACGTCATTTCATGAAATTAGTTTAATGGGCTAAGTGGTGGGGTGGAAATGTATGGTTGGGTTTTATATCACGTAATGTAAAACCTTGTATAAATTCAAATTAAAATAGACGCTAGTAAATTAGTAATTGATTTGAATATTGGTTACATTACACTAGATAAATCTTGGAGCATTAATTCTAAGGTGAAATAGTCGTGTACATGCCTTTTCTTTTACATTTATTATTATCTCATTGCGTGAACAACACGTTTTCATTTATGAAATATGATAAGTTTAGTAATTTATTTTCACAATTCAACTTCTCTCAATTTAAGGAACTGAAGAAGTGTTAATAACAACTCCTTATATACGTCATATCCTACTAAAGGTTTTTTTGTTTTTTGTTCTTAGAGGAAATGTGGGATACTTTAGAGCCTGTTTAGTACTCTATTTGAATCCAACTTTTTGGACTCTAAAACAATTTTTTAGTTTTACACTTTAAATATTTGTTTAGACTATTTTAAAAAACTGAACACAAAATTAACTTAAAGATAGCCTATTTCCAAAAAACACAAAAAGTGATTTTTTTATTATTATTTTTTTGGTTTTTAAACTCCAAAGTACTACTTTCTCTCTCCTCTCTTCTCACTTCTGATATTTCTCCGCTAACTCTCTATCTCATCTCCCTCTTCTTCGACCCTCTCTTTAGATCTCTTTGTCTGTCCAATTGAATTTAGTAATAATTTTCAAATTTACGAGGAGTTGGTGCAGGGTATTTTTTTATTTTCTTTTTAACTATTAAAATTTAAATTTTGAATCTCATAGCAAATTTGTTAATCTTAAAAAATAAAATTAAAGAAGTTCTTAAGAAATATTTTAAAAATTCTAATTTTTTTTATTACAATACCAAACAGCTCCTGATATTCTAGTTTGCATGCATGTCGTAACAACAGCATGTTTATACTCTGCCTTAGCTTGTTTCTTTTTGTAATTTACCAGTTTTTATAAAATGTAAACAACGATTAAAAACTCTTTCTTGCAAGTAGATTTTGTTGCATTTGTAATCATGAAATTATATTCTTGATTGATAATGCTTCTCGTTCCATTTGGTTAATCAAATATTTATCACCTTCAACCAGCCATTAATTTATACAAATTACTGGCTTCCCACTACACCAAAAGTCGTCTAATATGATGGAGAAAATGACAGTCTCCATTTTCTGAACTCACTCGTGGCTTTTAAATGCTTTCATCATCTTGTTAATCCATTGTTTAAACTTTAATTAATTACAATGTTCTACAACATTCTATTTGAAAAATAACACTTAGAAATTGGAAAGGCGTGACAAATGATTTCATCATCCTTTTTGTTTTTTTTGTTTCCTCTTTTAGATATTCCACCATTGTTAAATTTATTGTCGACCTAATCAAGCCACTCCCTTCACTTCTTTTTATGACCCTATTTAATTTCATTATTATTTACTTTTGGCATAATTTGAATTTATATTAAAAAAAAGAATTAGGTTAAGGCATATAATAGTCATTAAAATAAGAGTAAATTGTAGCTATGGTCCCTTAACTTTAACTTAATTGGAGCAATGGTCCCTCAACTAAAAATCCATTACCTTTGGTCCCTCAACTTTAATTCAAGTGGAGAAATTGTCCTTTAACTTTAATCCAATTGTAGCAATGGTCTTACAATATAACTCGTTTTGACAAATTTTTTGACATAGTTGACGAAAAGAACCATAATTATACACTTTGATGAGTTGAGGGACCCTAATTATATAAATGGTCATTCCAACATAGCTTATTTTGACAAAAATTTTGACAAAATTGATGAAAAGGACTATAGCTACACATTTTGATAAGTTGAGGGACCAATGGTAATGAATTTTTAGTTGAGGGACCATTGCTCCAATTTGATTAAAGTTGAGGGACCATTTGTACAATTTACTCTTAAAATAATTTGGTATCGAACTCGTAATTTACTAGATTCGAATTACAAGTGAAAACAATATTATTAAATCGTAGTACTAAGAAATAGCATTAGACTTGTTAATATATCATATTTTGAACCGGATCCGATTTGAATCCAATGCAATTAATATGATATGGATCCATACTTCCAATCTAATTATCTGAATAAGATCCGAATCCAATAATCCAATTATAAATAGATCTAGATGTTGATCGAAATTGATCTGATCCAATAATAATACGACTCGTTTACAAGTTTAGATGCCATCATAATATTTGAGATTACAATACAATATAAGTAACATAGATAGAGCTCTAGAATTAAACTTTAATTACTGTATCTTTGGTTAAATCGAAAGGATGAAAGCTCCTTCCCTCTTGTTGTAGTTTTCTTGTTTTATTTTTCTATAAATAATTAATGAAAGGAACAAAGAAAAGAAGTAGCATCCCACACACTATCAAAATATTTTGATATATGTATCAATTTCCTGTATAATTAAGTTTTTAATAAATTAAAATAAAACAAGGGGGACATACCATGTCAACCCATGTTAATCGAGCAAACAAGTACGACACATGATGTACTTGATTGTCCTCTCCATATGTATCAGAAACAGGCTGTGTGACCAAAAAGAAAATAAAACCAGGGATTTCCTACTCGCTTCTGAGGAATCTGGCGTATGCCAGAGTTTTCTCTAGGGACTAGTTGGGCTTCGCCACTTTAATTCATCTTTTTGGGATTAAAAAAATTTACGTAGGCATTTTAATTTTTCTCTGGCCATCATGATGTGATTTATTAGCTCAAAAAATTGAACTCAGAGCATACTGTGTAGAATACATACTTGAAATTCGTTGCTGACTACTGTGTCATCTCGTGATTGTTGCATATGCTCGAGTTTGAAGTTCTTACTTTACCTACCATCAATTCCAATTTTGTCCTGCTGGTTTATATTATGGTCTGATCAAAGTTTGTTGAGGTATAGGTGCATCATGAAGTATTATGAGTGAAAAAGTCACAAAATTACGTGGTGTTATTCATTTAAAAGTTATAATATGTATTGATGAACGTTAAAGTTAAAATGTCATACAAATAGAATATGGTGTTGATAAATATATCTAATATTCCTGGAAATTGTCAATGTCATACACCAATTATATGTTTTTTAAAAAGCATTTCAAGTATGTTTTTACTAAAAATTGTTTTCGAAGATATTTTTCCTAAAAACGTTTACAGTTATTCTAAAAACACTTTCAAACGAGTTATAAATAAAAAATAAATTGAACCAAGGCAAAATCATTGGCCAAATAATCAAATTGGAGCTATTAGGCCATCTCCAACCGAGGGCTGGCCAGAGGGCTCGTTTGAGCCCTCTGGCCCTCCAAGATTCCCCAAGATATTAATATTTTAATGAACAGTACATGGCCATATTTGCCTCCGTCTCCAACCGAGGGCCAGAGGGCCAAAGGGCTTGTTTTAGCCCTGTCACAAAAAACCGTCTCCAACCGAGAGCCAAAGGGCCATAGGGCCAAACATAATTTATTATTTAAAAACTACAATTTAATGTTGTATAAATGGCCTAGGAAGTTATACGAAAAAAATAGAATTGAAAAAAAATATGAAACAAATTTTGTGAAATAGAAGTTATAGGAAAAAAAATATGAAAAAAAATTTGATTCATATGAAAAGGAAAAAAAAGGGAACTTTAATGAAAAGCATCCGGTACTGTTCACTTTAACGAAAAACCACATTTTTACACTAAAAAGTCAATCCTGGTACTATTCACTTTACCCTTTATTTTGTCCTTATCATTAAAACTCAAAGTTTTCGAGCCCTTTTCATTAGTTTTCCTGAAAAAAAAGGGAAAAAAAGAAGTTTAAATTCATTAAAAAAAAAAAAAAAAAAAGAGAGGCCTAATAATCCAACGGCTACTAGCCGTTACATTAAAAAACATTTCAAACTATTAGTGTCGGTTATAACCGACACTAATAGTAGAACTATTTAAAAAAAAAAAGCTCTTTAATGCTGTCGGTTTTAACCGACAGCAATAGGAAACATTAAAAAAAAAAATAGCCAGCCCCGGGGCTAGCTGGCTGGCCGAAAGCAGCCAGCCCTCCAGCCCTCTCCGATCCCGTGGGGCCCTCCCAGATTCCAGAGCCCTCTGGCCTAGCCCTCGGTTGGAGACGGTTTTAGGGCTATTTTCGGCCCTCTGGACCCTTCGGTTGGAGATGGCCTTAGCCAGCACCAATTGGCACAACAATCCAAACATGGGAAAAGAGGTCGAGGAGAAAGGGATAATTTTTTCATATTTTTCTCTACTAAAATAACTTTTTTTCTTGTCTCCTATGGTAGTTATTTATCATATTATTAACATATATATCACCAAGAACAAAGCAGTTAAATATATATGAAACTGTAGAATACTGAATTATTTTTAACTTCATTTTGTTTATTGGGAGTGTGCCCCCATATTGTTTTGTGATTAGATTCACATAAACGCTCTATCAATCTGGAAATCCATCGATCTAATTCTTTAAAATATTCAAAATACCTAATAAACTATTTAAAACAAGCCAAAAGAAGAATCGAGATCTCTTCGGATCTCGAAGCTTACTAGCATGCCCAGAGATCCGAGCCGCTCAAGAGAGAGATTTGAACCCTTAATTTGTGAAGTGAAGTCCGTAAAATAAACTAATGAGAGTCGTATGATTTAAAATGAGTGGTTTGAATCTCTAGATCTGTTAACTGCAGATACAGAGATCCGCAGAGGATTTCAATTTCCAAAAGAAAAACTTTATTTGAATGTGCACGGAATCTCCACCACCGGTATTTGAACGTTCGAGTAATTTGATCGTTTATAAAATGATGGATTATACAGCAACAATGATGGACCAAAAACAGATTAATAGACAGAAAATTCATTTAATATGAAGCAAAGCATCTCTTTCTTCTTGTCTTGAGGAAGATAACATGGCGTAGGCGCAGGAGAACCATAAGTTCTGGATCTTTATTTTCTCTTTTGGAATCTTTTATTTGCATAATTTTATCAATACAACATTGGCTTTGCATATTTTTAGACATTGTTAAATGTGATGAAGCTTTATATGTATATGCTATTTGAAAGACAATTTGTGGTGCTCGTTTCGTAATTTGTTTCAAAGATCCAAACTGTTTATGTTTTAATATATCATTCATAAATCATCTTTGCAAAAAATTAGACAAAACCATTATGACATCCAATTGTAGCAAGGAAAATAGATGAATATGATTTTTCTAAGAAACAATAATATGGCTTTCATTTAATCAAACGGTCAAATAATTTTGGATGTGGGTGATTCCTAGTAAAGATGATCTTTAATGGAAAGCCTAAACAATGAATTGCTGAATCATTGAAATACGATATAGAGTAAGTCATACAAAAGATCTCTCAGATAAACTTAATTGATGAATCCTTCGACCAAGAGGACTATATGCATGCACACGGAGAAGTGCTCGAATGCAATCCGATTGGTGACTTAACCACTCCATATCATGATATTAACCACATTTTTAACTAGGTCGTCATTGAAATCTGGTCCTAGCAAAACTCACTCAAATCATATAAGTGTTTAGTTTTCTAACTGCCTGTGACCTAAATAAATAAATAAACACAATATTATTGATAAATTGTGAATGTATACGTCCTTAATCAATAAATCAAGACTAAATAATATGATTTTGTAGTGCCAATAATAATACACCATAATGCTAAATTATTGAAAATTCAAGTAATAGACTATTGGAGAAACTAAACAACGTGTAGAAGTGTTCTAATTACTTGTTTCAACTTGCAGACTCTACGAAAGCAACCAAAACTTTCAGGACTCGTTTGGTAGGTCGGATGTGATTGGACCTATTTTTTAAATATTTTGTGTGTTGATACTTGTTTAAGTCAAAATATAAATAGTACACAAACAAGTGACAAAGCATTTAAAGTTAATAGAGAAATTTACATTGATAATTTACCATTCACACCGTAATACTCATTACAAATTCCAGAACCTACTCCTCTGGTCCCTCTCAATTTTGCCCATTTCCATCACAATCATCATATATTGGATTCTCCTAATATTAATACCTAATTACATAAACAAAACCAAGTTGTTCTTTCCTCCTCCAATCATTTGAGACTATGATGCAATTCCAAACACCACCAACACCAAAGACTAGGCAACAAAACGAATTGACCAATCACCCCCTCTTACCTTACATCAGGAACGTCACTGTAACAATATTTAAAACCAATAACATTTTACCAAACGAGATTAGAGATAATTAAAATACATAATAATGCGTTAAGGTTTTGAAATACCGAATCAGTGACATTCTGGTTAAAGGTAAAATTTTCTATTGTCATCGTTGCCATTGATTAGTTATTAGTATTGGTGAAGCATGTCGGCAGTGGCCATGATTGGTTGGTTAACATAAAGCATGTTCCAAGGGTTTATGAAGCTGTTGTGATCGGCAATCGGGGTGGTTTCAAAGTCTCCGCCGTAACCGTCGCCGGCGTTGATGTAACCGAGGATCTCGTTGAGCGACTCCAGTCTCTGGCTGAGCTCCGCCATCTGCGCTTTCAAGACCGAGTTTTCCGACTCGACATTCATGTAGTGCTGGGTGGTGATGTTTATGCTGGTCAGGATTTGATTGTTCTCCTTCCGCAGCTGGGCGACCTGCGCCGTCAGATCGTCCAGGTGCTGCTGCTTCCGCATCCGGGACCGCCGCGCCGATTCGCGGTTCGACTGCATCCGTTTTCTCTTTCTTTGATCAACCAGATGATGCAGATCCCCTTCGGAGCCAGAGTTCTGAAGCTGAGTGGAACCAGAGGAATTTCCGCTTGAAGAAGCCATAGAAATATATGCAAACTTATATAAAAACTTAGATTAAACCCTAAACACGAAGAACCAAATACTAATTATTCAGATAATTAAGGGCGATTATATATATAATATAGGTATTAGGCAGTGCGGGGAGCTGATTTATGAGAAAACATAAAACCAGTAGAGGAAGACGACGGAGAAAGATTGGACGAGGTGGGTTCTGCGCCGGAGGGAGGAATCTACCATAAACCCGGAACGGAGGATTTCACTGAGAACTGGCGACATGAATCTCAAACATTAAGATCCAGATTTTCAGCATTTAATTTTCCAGAGTTTTATTTTCCGGAACAGAGAAATAAATCTCGGCAGAAACACAAGATTAAATTCAGATTTCAACTTCAAAGACTAATTGGATCAGAAAATATATGGGTTTTGGGTACAGAATCCAAAGACCCAAGATTCAACAGCAAAAACCCAAAATTAAGCTAAAAAAAAACACCCAGAAATTCTTGGAAGAAAACCCAACAGAGCCTCGGCCCTCAAGAGAAAGAAAGAACTGGGAGGAGAATTTATGCTCTCAGACTGATCTGTAAACAAAAGAGGAGGAAGAGAAGAGAAGAGGAAGAGGTTTGTAATGGAATTGAGGGGTCAATTTATAGAAGGAAAATGCAATAAAAAATTCCAAAAGGAAAATCAAAGAAATTGGAAAATTGATTAAAAAATTAAAAATGAAGAAAAATAGAAAGAAAAAAGTTGGAAAAGTAAGGGGCTTTGGAATCTCGTCCCAACTCTTCTACAGATGGGTGCATTTTTACCCCCTTTACTTATTACTTTTGAATAAATTTAAAATTTAAAATATGTGTCATTTTATTACACATATTTTAAAATTTAAATTTATCTAACGACGATAAAAAGGATGATGAGCATTATCATTTAGTGAGAGTGATGAGTAAATATATTCTTTCTATAAATAGATAAATTATTCAATGCCTTGGAAACACGATTTTTATAATAAATATAATAATAAAATTAATTAAAATTGTAAAAATAAAATTTATCACAATTGTATTATTACACTTGATGAATGAACCGTGTCCGGCAAACTGAATCTCTCTCCCGCAAATGAGGAAGGGTTTGTTGGGGGAGAAGCTGGTGAGGCATGTGAAGTATGTACGAGATTTTTAGAACCGTCCAATTCCAGCTGGTGAGCAGTAAATTCATAATTTTTTTTTCATTTTAATGACCCATTTTATGTTTTTTTTTTCTTTCTATTTTTGGGTTGAGAAATTGAGAAAACTACCCGGTATGTGACAGTATATTTTACTATATAAATGTCATAATCTTTACAATTAATTTTTTATCAGCACTTAACTACTTTAAAATTATTAATTTAGATATATTTTAACATTTATTTTTGTCAGAAGAGATATTTTAACATTTATTTGTGTTGAACAGGTAATGGATTATAATAACAATTAGTAACTTCATGATAAATCGTCAATTTTATTGGATTCATTATCAATTAAAAGATTTTTCGTTTATGTCAAATAATAAATGTTAAATTAAAAAGTCGACGAAGTTTAAATTTATGCCGTGATGCAAAGATAATATTCTTCTTCACCACTGTAATAAAAAGGTCATTTGCATCAACTAAAAGATTTTCGGGTCGAATGATAATTAAAAAAAAAACAAACGATGATTTAGTTTATTTAGTTTGTACATTTTGTACTTTTTACCTCTCTTTCACCGTCATATACCGGATTTATCCGTTTTGGTAGCAAGTGACAGGTTGTGCCCTTTTTATTGATAAATAATGGAACAAGTGACACCTGAATGTAGCAGAAGGAATCTCAGGGACGGAGGTGGTATAAAAGTAGTAGGACAAGGACAATACCGTCTTTTTAAAATATTTTATGTTGGGTTCAAATCTGAAAGGATTGGCAACCCCGTCTCCTTCGTTTCCAACCATGTAAAAGCCCTACAAATTATGTGTTTAAATTTACAAATTTAACCATGAATGTGTTAGTGTAAATTTTATTGGAATTCTATGATATATTTTAGATAGTTTCTGTTTGTATGTTAATACCTAAATATGCGAAATTTACTTTCTACAATACTATAAATAAAGCACAATAATGTGAGAAATCATATCTCACAAATCACCAAATTGTCTCTCCTCTTTGTTGTGCTCCCTCTCCGCATATCTTTATAATTCTTTAGTTAAATAGGCCGACAACATATATAACGATTAGAAATAGAATTAATGGAGTTTTATTTGAATGAAAATTAAAATTAAAAAGAAAAAGAAAAAAGTAGGACGGAGAGAGTGGAAGAGTAAAAAACTATGATCAGATGTCGGCGAGGGAAAACAAAAAACAACAAAAAATTACTTTTATAATTTATTTTCATGATATTTCTTTCAGTTTATGCATGGAATGGTAGAATAATATTTTCTTTGATTTCTGGTTGATAAAGAATATTTTATTAATAAATAAATAAGCATATTAAGTAAGTAATAATTTTATAATCAATAATTTTTAACATTTTATCTAAATAGTTAGTTTCTCTGTGTTACCCTACTTTTATTTGCACCAATAGATTCTTGACATGTGTAGTTTTACTCGTTTTTATAATTAACCAATGATAGAAGGGTTCGTCGAGAAAACACTCTGTCAACATTTTCCCTCTCTCACTCTCTCTCTCTCTAAAATGTTCTTGGCGTTTCTGAAACTCTTTTTCTTTTTGCTGCTGATCATTTTTCTTTTCCTCATGAATGCTCTGGAGTTCACGAGAAAGAATTTCATAGCACGAGTGCGTTATTATTGAGTAGTAATGATAGCATCAGCGAAATAATATTCATCTTCATTTGTAAGCGAGATGTTTTAAATTCGATTCTAGCCAAATATGAATTTGATCACATTATTGCTAACCTATTATGAGGCTAAACTCATCCCTCTTTATCCTTAGTAAAGATAATATCGATTGTTAAAAGAAAAACAAAAAGGAAGTTTCATCGAGGGCCGCCTAGGAGCTAAGCGGTTGATCACGGCCACGATTAATCCCTAAGCTATTAAAAAAATAAGAAAGGGTGCATATACCTACCTAGATACCCATCTAATCCGTCTAGACTCGCCTAGGAGCCCGCTTAGACTGTTTAGGTCACAATTCTTACATAAACAGAAAATAGATAATTAACTTCCATTTTACATTTTATTTTTTCAATAAATTGTAGTGTTGGACAGTTGGATGAACATTAATTATAATTTATATATCATTCTATTTTGTAATTTATGTGTCCTAATACAATAATGTATTTTTTAAGTAATAGTAGACATTTATTTATATGTATATCATAAATTTAACTAAAATTTTTTAAAAAAAAAAAAAAAAAACTTAAGCCCCCACTTAAAAGCCTAGGTGCTAGGCCTTTGACGCTACCTGACTAGTGCCTAATGCATTTTAGAACCTTGTGTATGTCGTATTATTAGCAGTAGTAGAATTCAATTCCACAGTTTGATAGTTCAATTTTTTTATTTCTTTTCAAAAAAGACGAAAGAAGAATATAAACGAAATGTTAGTGCAATTCAAATTGTGTGTCTCTATCTGGCTAATATATTTCAACTTTTATAAGTGTTTTAATAGTAGGAACAATACTTTCTTCTTTATTCATATTCATGCCCTTATAGCTAGAGGGACCACGATGTCATTCCGGAATATCGCAATGAACACGACTAACACTCACAACACTTTAAGCTCCAACAACAATGATTGAGGTGAATTCTTGCTGTTTATGGTAGATTTATTCTCACCTGCAAGATTTTAATCTGTATATCGCATTATCTTAATCTGGATTATGTGGATCGTGGCATCACTTTCATATCAATTTGTCATTGTCATGGACAATTTGCCAGCTCCACAGTAATGTAATAAAATAGCAAAAGATACACAAGTTGAAGGGTTAATATTAGAAAGAAAACCTTATCATTTACGTACACTGCAAAGAGGGATCGTTGTAAGATCAGAAGAAAAATTTCCATCGGAGTGGTGTCCTCCTCACTTTTCCTTTTTGTAATGAAGCGCTGTCTATTTTAGCTAGCTATCTGGTGCGTGTATGGTCTCAAGTCACTTATGAGCAGGAATCTCGTTCCACTACAGTAAAATGAAATTATTCTTGCACGAAAGGAAAGTGTATTTCCGCTTGTATCTGGAGCTAAAAAAGGACAGTGAAATATTGAAGAAGTCCTATACAGTGCATATATGGTCCATGTACGATGGTCCTATTCCTGTCTCGAGTTTACTACAGTAAGAAGCTTCTCCCCATATAGTTCTATTCCTAAACCATAGTTCTATATACACACTTAGCGAGTGTAATATTTGTTGACAATTAATCTTACACTTATGAGAGAAGGGACTTCGTATGAGTTTATAAGGAAGTTGGGTTACTCCCTATGTTGCGAACTGATTTATGGTAGAACCTCAATTTTTTTCATTTTATCGTAGTAAATTACTATCACACGTAAGATCTTTTATCGTTGTAAATTACTATCACACTTATCTTACGTTGCAAGTGAAGGAAAAATATCGGCTTTTAATAATAAGTTATAAAGTTTGGTCTTCAATAGGTGGGTAGCAGTTCACACCTTAACAAAGCAAAAAAGTGATTTGGCATGTAACTAAGCAAAGCGTTAAAGTAATTGGTTGTATGAAGAGTGAGTTAAAGTGAATGAATGATTCATTATCCTCATATAAGGTCAAATTAAACACGCCTTAAGTCCTCCGGTTTGTAGGAAAACCCTAACCCAATTGATGGGTAGCAATTCACACCTTGACAAAGCAAAAAATTGAGGTCTTCACTCTGAATCAGAATAAGGCATGAGAGACGCCAACATAAGCCAATAAGATTATTTGGTGCTCTCTTTGCTCCCAAAGGCCACAACGAGCAGGTTAACTTTAGGATAAATTAGGTTTTCATCATTCTTTTTGCTACTTCATTGATTAAAAGGAAAACTAATGAAAAGGGCTTGAAAACTTTGAGTTTTAATGATAATGACAAAATAAAGGGTAAAGTGAATAGTACCATGTTTGACTTTTTAGTGTAAAAAAATGGTTTTTCGTTAAAGTGAACAGTACCGTGGGCTTTTCGTTAAAACTCCCTTGATTAAAATCCTATTCCTTTTCAATTTTTGATCAAGGTCTTGGGTATTAATAACATCATTAATTATTTTAATAATAAAATATTTTTTTATTTCTAAATATATTCATTTAATGTTAAAAATGTTACAATTAGTATATTTATATTTATTAAATTTTTTTATCTTATATTTTTAGTTTTAGTTTGTACCAATTTTCTTTTCAATTTTAATTTGTACCCATATATTAATTTCTTTTTGTGCCCATGTTTTTTAAAGTTTATTTGTATTTGTACCCATATATTTTTTTTATTTGTACTTTTTATTTTGCTAAATGTACCCGTGCTAATTATATGTACCCATTCATGTAAAACTTTTTAATCTTAAAATGTACTCATTCTTAAATATACCAATTTGTTATATGTAAAATGTATCATTTTTTTATATAAAATCTATTCAATTTTTTTCTAATCCATTTTTAAATTTATATGGGTACATTCTTTTTTCTTTGATTTTAAAATGTATCCATGTCAAGTTTCATCGAAGAAATTTACTAATGTTATTAAGCCTAATATCTTTTTTTTTTGTAATTTGAAGAATGTACCCATGTTTTTATACAATAATTTTTTTGCTTAATTTTGATGAATG